TTTCAAATCCTATCCAATCTTCACGGGAACCAGACAAACTATGTTTTCTACGGCTTTCCAACTTTGATACAAAGTAACATTGTTTATAAACATTGATCAGAGGGAGATAGAGAGATACAAAGTAACATTGTTTATAAACATTGATCAGAGGGAGATAGAGAGATACAAAGTAACATTGTTTATAAACATTGATCAGAGGGGAGATAGAGATACAAAGTAACATTGTTTATAAACATTGATCGGAGGGGAGATAGAGAGATACAAGTGATTGTTGTTACTTTTGTATCCTCGGTACCGGGTCTGTATGGGATGCAGAATAAAGCGGTTGCGTTGCTATGGAACCTCTTATGAATTCTTAGTTTATTCTGATTGGTTATAATTTAATTCTTCCGCTGATCATTCACGTTCATTTTTTGATCAGATGAACTGATTAAGGTGAAGCCGCTCTCCCGCCCGGTCTGGGTGAATCTCACATTCACCGGTAAACCGTCGGCTCAGATATCCGTCCGCTGTCACCGCAGAAGCCTGGAGCCCCCTGAATGAGTCCACCAATCACGTTGTCCCGTCTGCGGCCCAGCTGGTGAGATGACGGCCAAGGAAGCCGACGGCTAAAAATGACAAAGCCGAGACGGCGGGGACGGGGCAGAGAATGCCGGATCACCACCTGACAGCTGGGCGAACAACAACAGCTGAGCCCCGTCCAACCGCAGGACAGGCATGGCGTCACCGGGCCGGGGAGCAACGCCGACATGCAGAGACCTTAACCCTTTCCTCCCTCACACTGGCCGCAGACTCCCTTCCGAAAATGCCACCCGCCTGGCCACCTCCGCTGAGTGAGTGACTGTAACAAGCATGCAGCAAGTGAGGACAGGACTGAGCCGCACAATTGTTTCGGGTCTGTGACTCATGCCACGCGGAATCCACCGCATCAGCATGACAGCCAGTCAACTAACATTTCCAGATCGGGCTGACCAATCAGAGACGTGGAATGTCTCTGCGGGGTCAGGAAGGATTCTCTCCCCCCCCTCTGCGGGGTCAGGAAGGATTCTCCCCCCCCCTCTGCGGGG